TATATAATCAGCAAATATATTTTGGGAGTTTTTATTTGACTCGAGTTGAATCGAGTCAAATTTAAGTATAACTCGAGTCAAGTCAAGTTAGAGTTTTAAAATTTTTTGACTTGACTTGACTCGACTCAAATTTTTTGAGTTGAGTCAAGTTATCTTTAAAACTCGACTTGACTCGACTCATTAGGAGCTCTAATTTCGACCACAACCTGCAGGACATAAAAATTTACGAGATGAGAATATAAGCAAATTTTTATCATGGATTACAGAAGAAACCTCAGAATTCATTTCTGTTCCTAATCCTACTTTACCACCAAAGCCAAAGAAAAAGGTTGAAGTTGATTCTGACGATGAACTTGCCGAGCTCACAAAAAAACAGTTAAACTTACATTTGGCTAGAGCTATTAAAAATGATGTAAAATCATAACATAAATGTTCTATCTGTGTTAAGACTGGGCATAATTCTCGCAAATGCTCTCAGAAGAAGAAAAGAAAAATAAGAAGACTAAAATAGGTAAGGTTAATCTCGCTACTTTAGATCTGGTCTCAGATTCGAATTCAGATTCTTCTTCTGATTCCTCATCTAGTGATAGTTCTCATTCTGATTCAAGTTCTTCTGATTCTTCTGATTCTGAAGATGAGCTTAATGTTAATATGGCTAAGATAAAAAAAAAGTAAAGCGGAAGTCAAGCTCTAAGAAATCTAGTTCCAAGAAATCACCATCTAAGAAACGCTTTAAGAAAAAAAACAAGTCCAATAGTATAACACCTTTAGCTAAATCTGCTGAACAGGTTGGTAAAGTAGATTCCGAAAAGCTAACAAATAGATCTGATAATGCTAAACGAAGCACTCTGGAAGAAACTATTCATAAAATTCTCTAAAGTGAACTTAAACTAATTTTTCTTGCATTGATTTCTCAAGACTTTGTTTCCAATTCCAATAAATATAATATACCAAAACAAGTGCCTTTTATTTAGGATAAGACAGAGTTTTAGTGTGATAAGGCTTCAATTACCAAAGATATTTTATCAGAACTAGAAGAGGAAGAATATTTGGAGGATCCAATGGAAATCGACTTTGTTTAGAAAAAGGATCCTGCTACAGATATTGTAATGGTAAAATGTAAAATCAAACGTTTGGTGATCCCAGGTGTCGTGGTTGATCCTAATGCTAATTTCGCAATTATAACTGATGATATAGCCAAATGACTTAAACTAAAAATTGATACGAGTGAAAAATATGACCTTAAAGGCATTGCTATAGTCTCTATGGAGTTGCTTGGTATAACTAGGAATGCATCTGTATATTTTGCTTCTGGATGTATTATATATTCTGATTTCACAATAATCAAAAATCATCTAGGAAAGGTAATGCTAATCTTACCCAATATGCTTCTCGATAAATATAATTATGATCTGCTTACATCAAAGCAGGAGTTGAGACTAGAATATATTGGTAAGGAATTTTTATTCTAATCAATATGCATAAGGTCAAGAATAAGCTCGAGGTGAATTGCGCAAACATTACTCCTGAGTGTAGTGATTTCTTAACTCCAGATAGAATTTCACAGGACTTGCAGGATTTAAGTGAGAACGATATATTAAAAAAAAGTGAGTTATGAGAAGCTCAAAAAAATCTTATATACCACTATCAAGTATAAAACAGAACTTAATGATTTATGCGAAAGATTACAAATGGTTTACTCCAGCAAATAGTAAAAATAATTAGGTAATAGCTAGTAAATGGGATATATCTGCTTTAATTTTTTCATCTCTCTTGGTCTCATTCTTATAAAATGCATGTAATTCTTCACCTTTTAAGCCTTTAGAGCTTTCTGAGGTTGGCTTAATCTGAATAACAGGTGACTCAAAGATGCAAACAGATTTAAACTTGGTTTTCTTTCTTCTGGTCATTTTTTCCTTACTTTCAGTAATGATGTTACACTCCGATAGGATTTTAGATATATCTTGTATATCTATAACATTTGTATTTGGATAAGAAAGTGGGACAGCTGAATAGTTTCATTCAACTTTTCCCATCTCCTATTCTCTTCAAATCTAATATAAACGTGGAATCTCTTTCTTAATTGATCTAGAGGCTTGAATTTCATATCTTGGTATTGCATAATATCTTTGTAATCTGCAGAAGTTAATTTTGTAGCATCAGAGCGCATATATCTTCTAGGTAGGGGGTTGATCATATTAGCAGTCAATCAGATTTTCATCCTATTAATAAAAAAATATACGCAAAATATTAATACTATGTGGACTATGCGTAGTATCAAAACTATGCAGAGAACCAGTATTATGCAGAGTATCATAAGGATTAATTCTACATATAGTATAAAGACTATTTGTGGTATTAGTAAAAAATGCGTGTAAAAAATTAATACTACATGAAGTATCAGAAGTATCTGAAGTATCAGGAGTATCAATGCTATGTGCACTATGGGATCTTCTATCCTATAAAAATAATTTTCAGCAGGAAATAACATAGTTTTCTTATAGTTCAGACCATCGTTTGGGTATCTAAGTCAATTTTCAATTGCATATTTTTTAATATACTAGCAACTAAGCTGAAAAAAAGTTATGACCAATGTATATATATTGAGAGATATCAATAATAATAGTCATAGGCTTGGTAGTGCATATGAGCAAGAGTTCAAAGAAGAATTATATTCTATCCTTAAATCTAAAGCAGAAATTAATGATCTTAACGAAAAGTTGGTAGATAATTATTCAGAGCGAGAAAGGGAGTTCCAGCGATTCTATGCTGATATCGGAAATAAGGTTAGCCAGTTGAATGGTGCAAATACTAAGCTTACATCCCAAATAACTTATAAACGGATATCCCATACTGAGCTTAAAGCCAATCATTCTGCTGAAATCAAATCGCTCAAATTCAATATTAAAACACTAAAGAGAGAAGCAACCTTAACGCAGAAAGCTTCATCTGCGAACAAGATCAAGATACTTTCTCTTGAAGCTAAGGTAGTTGAATTGGAAGGTAAGTTGCTAGATCTGAACTAGAACGTAATTCACATATAGTGGGAAGACTACTAGAGAAGCTGGCCCCAATAAACTTATCTGATCCCAAAGAAAATAATTCTCTCAGGCTCGAACTGGAGCAAGCAAATGAGGATATTAATTCAAAAATATGAAATAGAATGTATAAAAAAGGTGATATAATTATCAAATAATATATATAATCAGACGATAGATTCTTTATTTTTAGCGTGATCAAAATTACTTGAGAAAAGCACTTATCTTCAAGAATTACTATCGAAGAAAAAGCCGAGAGGCACTTCGCATAATAAAATAACAGATCTCTTTAATTTCTTGCCTAAGAACGATTCATTGCAAAAGCTATCAGGTTGGATCAGTAATGATTTAAAACCCCTCGTCTATAAGCTCAGTTTTGAAAATAAAGTTATAGAATTTGATAAAAGTTTTGCTAGGGAAAATGTATTAGAGGCTTTGCAAGAGCTATTATTCTGAGATGAGATGGTTTTGAGAAGCTAGACAGATACTCTACCCAATCAATCTGTTCATAGTCGACCAGCACATTTCGAAAAGTATATTTTTGAGTGAAGGGGTTGCAGAGCAATCAGGTGGCACAGAAGTAGTGCTACCAGCTCAAGTAATGCCTCTAATACCAGCTGTTCCTGTCATTGCGAACTCCTTAATGTCACCATTGATAACGTATACCATACTTACTTTACTACTTCTTGCCATTATATGAATCGTTGGGAAAAAAATATGGAATTTATGAAAAAAAGTAATACTGAGTATTCTCCTAACTGGAACTATTTTTTATCATCCCCAGGTATTTCCAAGGTTAGGCTATATGATCAGAAGTGAAAAATACCTTAATCAGACAGCAAAGCAATTTTGAATATCTATAATAAAAGTGAAGATAAAGTTTTAAGATTATTAATATCAAAATTACCTCGTATAGATTGTTTATTCTGTCAATACATCAAGAAATATGGTTCAATTTGTGGGAAAGGATGCTGGCATATTTCAGGATATGCCAGACATTATAAAGCCTATCCTAATAAAATATGTCTTATCTGTAATGAGCTAACCTATTCTCATACCGGAATCTGTAGAATACATAGTAAAATTTATAATGTTATCTGACGTGAAGCCAAAAAAACTCCTTTAATCAAAAATTTTCAGAAGGAAAAGCTTTCCACTGCTTTCTTACCATAGTTCGAAAGATTTTCTGCAAAACAGTTAAATTATTTCTCGTAATATCAAAGGAATAAGGGAAGATTAGAGAATTATTTTTCATTACCCTATAGAATTAAAGAGATTTTGAAGTACTTTATCTGACATATATGGCAGAAGTTCTGGAGCACCTTCATCTCCAAAACCATTATTATTATATGACTAACGATTAATTCAGTATGAGTATTGCCCAACTTGTTATCCTTTAGGCCCTATTCTTTTTTATCACTTTTAATGGTATATCCACACCAATTGCAAGCAATTACATTAATTGCTTTTATAGCTGATTTAAGATCTGGTGTTTCCTTTGCACAAGACTTAAAACTAAAGAATAATAAAGATTGGTTTCGAATTTCTATAAATCTTTCACATGATTAGACGAATGCTTCTGAAATAATATTACCTGAAAGAGTACGCATATCATCAATGCCAGTAAAGCCTAGTATTTGAAAAGGTTTTTGTATTGTCTCCCACTGTTTAGACAAATATGCCTTTCATAAATCATTTGATGACGGATCTAAGGAATTATGTGATTCCTTCTACTATATAACTTCTTTAATTTTAGCCCTTCTAAAGCTTTTAATGCATCTGGACCTTGCCTTTAGAAATATGCCAGTCTTCTAAAATGTCGTAAAGTTCAGAATTATTAAATTTTTTTACAAAATTAGCATTACATAGATTAATCCATTTGGCATCATCCATGCTTCAGTCCCAATGATCATCCTTACCTATAATATTTCCTGAAGCATATATTCTTCACAAATAATGTCATTATAATATCATATTATCATTGAATGAGCGTGTGAAAATTTGTTTAAAAATTTCAGCATCATCTGGAGTGATATCAGGTGCATTGGCTATTAATTCTGCATCAAAGCCTTTGATATTTTCTTCAACCGCCTTAATAATATTAGAAACTATTTTTCTATTAGCTATGGTACCTTCTGTAGAAATAATCTCAAGTGAAGTTCCTGTACTTGAAACAAGACTGCAGAGAATTTTTGGAAAGTATTTAGCTGATAAGCGTCTCTGATATCCAGCTTAAATATATGTTTCAATTGCTGAAGATGCATCAAGAGTATAACAATCAGCAATTTTATCCCATTTTTGACGTCTTTTACTACTATCGGTAAATCAATAGGCCTTAAAGCAGAAAGTCCTGCACGAATAAGATTATGTTGTAGACAATCCTAAATTCAATAAAGCATTTGTGTAAAAGCTTTGACATGTACTCCTGTTTTAATATTACTAATCCCTATAATAGCATCAAAATGATTAGAAATTTCAAAGGAGATACCAGCTTCTACAGTACTGGTATAAATTACACAGTTGAAAGAACTTCAGGTAGCATTAATATTAGTGAAATCCTCTTGTCATTGCATTCCGTCCATTTGGCCAAAATAAACACGAGTTAAAATAGGTAAACCATCTGATTTTTGCAATGCAGAAGCTTGATTTGCTAAAGCCCAGACTTTTTTACATGATGTTATTGCAAAAGCAACACGCTTACCTTCTCAAAGCATCTTAAGACCTCTTCTCATAGCCTCTGAACTTTTGTCTGGATCATAAAGAATCTTAACAGTTTTGTCTATACATGGTTGATATTTATTATCGAAAATTCATATATCATTATCTCGATTATACATGAAGTCGAAATGGATCATTTCGGATATCCGAAATGGTCAAAATGGTCAAAATCATTTTTTTTTATGTTTTAATGATGCGGTACTATCAGTACATTTTATTAATTTATACAAAAATACAATAATAGTAAAATCAAAAACTAACAAGCAAATGACTAACTACCACCCGTGACTATATTGCAAGTCTATTTGAGTTGACCGAGCATCGCTACCCCCTCAAATAGACCCACTACACACATGTATAATGACTACTATCTTCAACAGGGGATGGAAATAAACCATGGTCAATACTACTTCGTTATCTCCTTTCTAAAGTAAATTCCTAAAAAATAAAAACAAAAATGTAACCCTTCAATTAATCATGACATATTTTCTGAAGAAATAACTATGAAACCTGACCATTCATGCTAAAGAATTTACAAAAAGAAGCAATATAAGGGGACTCTACTAAGTTCCTAGCTAAGTTGTCCAGTTAATTCCAGATTACAGTGACCATCCAGTACAAATGCGCTCATATCACTAAGTTTCAATAGAGGCTCTTCAGACTATCGCTTCCAATGCTAAGATGTCTGTCAATTCAGATTACAGCTGACCCCGATACAGGGTGAGGTCCAAATCACACAATCGGTCAAGTCTGGAAAATACTGCGTGGGATTCCGCAGTTTTCGACGTCAGAGATCTGCAAAAAAAGAGTGTTGCCGTTTATAAAAAAATAGGGATGTCATCACACAGATTTATGTATCCAAAGTATGTTGATCATGATCGATGGTTGGGATACCCCTTGATGTACACTTTTGTAGGCAATTATTTTTGAAAATGAAAAAATGAGAAAAAATATATCAAAGAGAGGTGAAGAAAAAATATTTTAACAAAAAACAACACGGTTTAGACTTCAACGGCAATTTTTATGTAGATAGGGTTTGAAAAAACAAAAAGAGAAAATTTTTGAAAAGATGAGTTTTTTATTTTGTTCGCAGGTTAAGCCACGGCCGCCTTTGAACAGGCACTTTTTTAAAGTAAAAATTCTTGGATAAAATCCAATGAGAAAGAGAGAAAGTTTTTTTCTGTCAAAATCATTTCAACCATTGGAGGCTAAAGTCGCGAAATGGTCGAAATGATGTCATATCACATGATTTTTATATTTAGAAAAAACAAAAAACAAAAGATGTATGATTCAGTCAATATCACTCCGATTCGTATGAAACAATTACCATTCGATTCCTCGAAACTAGGCGGATCCAATAAGCTAACATTCATTGATTTTGGATCATTCCATCTCGAGATATTTGCGATCGTATATCGAAATCCAGACTTCTTTATTTAAAGTAGAATTTATTGATTTATAATTTCAACCGATAATACAATTGTGAGTATCACGTGATTGGATGATCCAAAATCAATGAATGTTAGCTCATTGGATCTGCCTAGTTTCAAGGAATCGAATGGGGAGTTTTTTCTTTTAACGATATAATACTGCTATAAGTTTATTAAAGTTTTTTTTAATATACTAAAAAAAAAATTATAAAGTAGGAAAAAACAACTAAACTATGACTATCTTCCATGGTTCTATTGCTAATAAAAGCTCAAACTCATTTAGATCAACTGATCACTGGAATCCCCCTCTGATCTGACTAAGAAATCCATTTTTAATGACCGAACCGTTAACAAGAAATTCAAATGAGGTTGTCAATACAGCAACATAATTTCTAAATGCCCTTCGATCCCAACTTCCAAATAAAATTTAAAAACTAACAACCCTCCTAAGAAGGGAAATAGATACAAATAGAAATTATTAAAAAAGACTAATATGACTCTATAAAAACCTAAATGTCCAGTTAATTTCAGATATAACGACCACCCGACTAAAGAAGATGCATCCAAAGAAAAGTCCAAATAGAAGCTCTTCATACTTATAAATTAATAAGTACGGAAAAAATATCACATGGAATCCACTACGAGAATCCTACGATGAATCAACAGATAGTAACCTATACCCTTTACCTGGTTACCAGGAAGGAACAGATCTAGACGAAGCGGATTTACACTGAGTAAGCAAATGGTAATGACCACTCAGAGCTCTATTTAAAATTACGGTAGGCTGACAAAATACGAACCAAGTGGTAGCTACTATCACACCATATAGAAGACCTCATGAAAAAACAAAGTAATAATTCACGCTAAATTTGCACTTGATCTTTGATGACAGAGAATTTGCAGAAAGGCAGAGGCCAATCAAAAGAGAGTATATTATTTAGGAAGGGGAAAGATGTCATCATGTGAGATTTTTTATTCAAAGTATGTCGATCATGATTGTCGGTTGGAATACCTCTTGATATCAACTTTTTAGTAGGCAAAAAAGAAAAAAAGAAAAATGGGAAAAATTTTTTTCGAAAAGAGGTGAAGAAAAAAATATTTTAACAAAAAACAACACTGTTTAGACTATTTCAAAAAATTTTATGTGAATAGGGGTGTGGGGAACAAAGAGTGAAATATTTTTGAAAGGTGGGGTTTTTTTGTTTGTTCGCAAGCTAAGCCGCGGCCGCCATTAAACGGGCACTTTTTTTAAGTAAAAATTCTTGGAAAAAATCCAACGATGAAGAGTAAGTCAAGGAATCGAGGAATCAAATGGTAATTATTTTATACAATTCAGAGCAATATTGACTGAAATCATACATCTTTTGATTTTTTGTTTTTCTATATATAAAAAAATCATGTGATATGATGTATTTTGACTATTTCAACTTTTTATTTTGACTTTGACCTCCAAAGTCAAAACATTTCGACTTTTGGTTTTCATTTTGACTTCATGTATAACTATATCTATAAACTCGCTCATGAAATATGAAAAGAAAGATATATATTACTCAAGTCCTTTGAAAATACTTACTACATTATACTCATTAAAAAGAAGATTAACTGGTAGTCGTTAGGATTTATAAAATCACCAATTAACTGTTCTGCAAATATTTAAAAATATTTTAAAGACGTTTTCTTTATGATATCTCCTGGTTGGATTTTTGAATCAGTAGTGACCAAGTCTTTCTCCTGGACTGATAAGGTTATTTCTATTATAAGTAATAGTCTGAGAATATGCAAAGTCAGTTTTGATTTAGTTTAGCTTTTATTATTTTACAATATAAATTAGATTAAATAGAAATTTTTATTTTTTGTATATTTGTTTTTGTACTTTTGTATAAATTTATTATTTCAATAAAGATTCGTTAAAACTACTATATATTTAAAAACAAATAAGAGAACTCTTTCTGCTAATCCACTTGATCATGTTTTGGCAAGCAATAAGTAAAAAAAATTTTAATAATAATTTAAGCAAAAAAGTACAATGCAGTCATTCTAGTTCACTGACTAATGAAAGAGCATCTAATAAACTTCAACTCGACATCCTAGATTACTCAACACCTTTGACAAATAATAATACTGAGAATAATAAAACCAAAAAATAGAAATAGAAGTCAATTCAGTTCCTTTAATTTCTAGCAACAAAGGAAATCAATCTGAAATTATTGATCTACCTAATGACAATTATGGTGAAGATAAAAGCTTTGATATCTCAGAAAATTTTTTGGGACCTAAAAATTCTAATACCAATAATATTATTAACTTTAAGAGGAAGAATTAAAGCTTCACATGAGTCAGCTCACGATCATCTCAAGCTGAGCCAAATTATTTCGGCTCACGAGCCAGCTTGGCTTAAGTCCAAAATGTGGCAAGCTAAGCCAGTTCACGAGCCAAACAAGCTGGCTCATATGGCTTGCATTATTAACAAAATCTGAAAAAATTTTCAGAGTAATTGAAAAGTTCTGAAAAGTGATTTCCTTCAAAAGAATCATTTCTGAAATAGTTTCCTTCAAGAGAAACGTCTCCAAATCGATTCTCTTGAAGCGAAAATGCTTTCAGAATGTTTTTCTTTAAGAATTACGTTTCTGGAGCATCATTTTTTAAAAATTACGCTCCCAAAGCATCATTCTTTAAGAAATTCGCTTTCGAAGCATTTTTCTTTAAGAATCACGCTCCCAGAGCATTTTTTCTTTAAGAATCACACTCTCAGAGCGTTTTTCTTTAGAATTATGCTTTCAAAGCGTTTTCTTTAAAAATCATGCTCCAGGAGCATTTTTCTTTAAGAATTACGCTCCTGAAACGTTTTTCTTTAAGAACTACACTTCTGGAGCGTTTTTCTATAAGAACTATGCTTTTGAAGTGTTTTTCTTTAAGAAATACGCTTCTGGAGTATTTTCTTATAAAAACTACGCTTCTGGAACATTTTTCTTTAAAAAATATGCTTCCAGAATATTTTTTTATAAGAACTACGTTTCCACAGCATTTTTCTTTAAGAAATACACTTCCGAAACATTTTTCTATAAGAACTACGTTTCCAGAGCATTTTTCTTTAAAAAATATGCTACTGAAGCATTTTTCTTTAAGTATTTCACTTTTGGAATGTTTTCTTTTAAGAAATCTGCTTCCAGAGCATTAATAAAATGAATCGACTTATAGTTGATGCAGAGTACAAAATTTATATTTATTTAGTTTATTTAATGAATTGAATTTTATTATTTGCAAAACAATAATTAAAAAAATTTAAAAAATTCTTAAAAATAATAAAAAGTATATATAAAAAATATAAAATAAAAATGAATATATAATAAATCTCTATAATTATTCTAAGTATTATTTTTAAAAAAAATAATTCTTTTTAAAATAGGAAGCGTTTTTATTAAATGTAATACTCTGAAAGTGTTATTTTTTAAATTTAACGCTCTGGAAGCGTTTTATTTAAAAGAAATATTCTGGAAGCATTATAATTTAAAATTAATGCTCTGGAAGCGTTTTTATTAAAAAGAAACGCTCTATAAGCATTATAATTTAAAATAACACTTTGAAAGCATTATTAATTAAAAATAATGTTCCGGAAGTGTTATTAATTAAAAATAATGCTTCTGAAGTGTTATAAATTAAAATAATGCTCCTAAAGCGTTATAAATTAAAAATAACACTTCTGAGGCATTATTAATTAGAAATAATGCATTGAAAGCATTGTTATTTAAAAAAAGAGCTCCAAAGGTGATTTTATTTAAAAAAAACGCTCTAGAAGCGTTATTCTTTGAAGAAAATGTTACTGAACCATTTTTTCTTCGAAGAAATCATTGCCGTAATCATTTAACTTTGATTAATCATTTTCAGAATTAATTAACTTCGAAGAAATTGTTGTTAAAAGCATTTTTCTTCGAAGTTAATACTTTTGGATTGTTTTTTTCAAAAATGAAAAATCCAAGCTGATGAGCCGAGCTGCGTTACAAGCTGAGCTATAGCATAAGCTGGCTTGATCAGCTCGTGAGCTATTTTATAGTAGCTTGAGCTGAGCTTTCATGAGCTGACTCATGAGGCTCGCGAGTTAGCTCAGCTTATGCGAAGAATGATATCCCTATTTTTTTTACTTATTACGTCATTGATAATTTTCTTTCAGATCGACAAAACAAAGAAAAGATTAATGCAGCCAATGAAAATTTTAATGGATCTTAATTAACTTCATTCATTGATACATTTGTTAAACCTTACCAAAATAAACAAACCAAGATAGTCTGAATTGGTTTTATTACACATGCTGATTATGAAATACAACAATGATAAAACTTATTTAATTATGCAATTAATTATTTCTTCTGTTAACTACAAATAATGTGGCTAAATTCACACCTGAACTATCGATCAAAATTAATGAGATCTGATCTCTATCCTAATCTAGAATGTCAAATCATCATTTGCCTTTTCAATAAAATATCTCGTTTGTGTAATAACCACAAAAATTTATGATAATAGGTCACATTAATCTTTGAAATAGAAACAAATATATCTCAATTAGATAATGTTCATGGTTATTTTATCCTTAAAGACATGGTTTCTGTACACTATTATACTCTAGCAATCAGTAATATTAAAAAAAAGTCTAAATATTCATTAAAGCTTACTAACTTAACAATTAACACAAATAGCCAGCAATTAATTTTAATTGGAAAAGCTGTTAAAGCTATAGCTTTTGTGATTTTAAAATCAAAATCAAACTACAGAAACCTTCAATAACCTTATTTTATTTCAAAAATAAACAAGATTTAGATGATGCATAAAATAGAAAAACTATCTATCTAGATCAAAAAAGACTCATTTAGACAGATTCAAGTAGTAAACTTTATTTTATTTGTTCTATGTTAGGTTACCGATCGAACAACTGTAGAAAAGCCAGACGTATCCCAAAGATCGATAAACATAATATTTATATCAACAGTACTAATCTATACAATTTAAGAATTATACTGTGCCTTATAAACCATTCTCTAAATCTTTCTTTTTTGCTCACATGATGAGTAATTGAAAGGATAATGAACTAAAGAATCCCAAATCTATATCTAAAGATATTCTTTCACGACCAAATGCAAGGATTGATAATCAAACTTTATATGATAATTTCTTGAATGCAAATATTCATACACATGAATCTTTAGCTAATGAAACTGAATATGTTTATTCTTCATCTAAAGGATATAAAAAACTGGTCAATGACATTTATAATCATAACGACTTTAACAAATTAGACTAACTCATGATGAAATTGGATGCAATTGTCAGCCAACTTAGACAACTGCATAATGATCTCAAATTTACTAATAAAAGAGTTACCACTATGAAAACACTTCTAAATGTTTACTCTACCTCTTCTAAATAAGCTGCTACTATCAATACATATACAGCTAGTAAAAAAATGGAAGATGATGATTATGTTGTAAAAGCTGGTATTAACACTTCTGAATTAATTATAATCTCTAGAGCTCTGAATCAGATCAGGTCAACCTGTGATCCGATCTGACCTGACCTGAAAAATCCAGGTCAGGTAGATAAATTTTTAGGTTAGTATCAGGTCGGATCAAGCTTATGACCCGACCTGATAAAATTCAGGTCAACCAATCAAATTAAACGAAATAAAAATTTTTTTTGTCTATTTTTTTTTTAAAACATCTTTAGTTTTAAAACATTTTTAATTTCAAAAACATTTTTAATAAAAATAACAAAAAATGCCAATAACTAGATAAACGAAAAATAGAAACGCTAATAAAAACTCTCAAACTCTTTTGAATAATAAAAGAAATAATAACAACATGAATGACAATACTTCTTCTAACTCCAACCAACAAACTTACTTACTGAACAGACTGAACAACCCAAAAAAATTAAACTCTCTTCTGATAATTTTTCCTAAAATATAAAAACTCCTTTAGAACAAACTATTAACAATATTATTATTAGAAACGACTTTATTCCACCTTCTAATGACTCAACATTTGAACATACTACTCCAGAGGTTATAGATATTGACTCAACTTCTACAGACTCAAATGATAAAGAAACTTATTCTTCTCTTGCTAAAGATATGACTAATGACTCTATACATACTTCCAGTTCTAGTTCTCACAATAACAATAATGATATTCTTCACCCAATCACAAACCAGGTTATTACTAACAAAGGTAAACAAAAAGAAGATGCATGGTAAGAATAAATGAAAGAAGAAGACAAAACACGTGATCAAGATTCTCAAGAAATTTCTTTCAATATTATTACTGCACCTACGCATTTCTACGTGATGGATAATGCCTCAGACATAAAAGGAAATTTGATTGCTGATAAATGCACGTTTGTCAACTCCCTTTTCATTCATTACAACAGATACTAAGGCTTGACTTATATTTCCAAAATTAGAAAATTCTTTATATACTTTAACACGATGGACTCCCTAAAACTGCACTCACAAAGATACAAAAAACACAACATAATCCTATTTTCACTATTGTCGATCCTGCGGTAAAACAACAAAGACAAAATGCCAAAAAAGGCCGAACCATTAAAGTATCTGATATTTCCTTATTTACCAAATCGAATGTTGTAAGAAATTACTTTACCAAATACGGAAAGATCTCCTGCTTCTCAATGATCATCTGTAGATTTTAGCAGATCGCCTTCATTAGTTTCGAAGAATTTGATTCTATCAAAGCTTTTTATGATTGAGTTTGGTCCATCACTTTTTTAGAATTTCTGCTCAAAGTAGAACCAACTGATCTTGACCTCACACAAATGGCACTAAGACAGCAGTTCGAACTAAAACTTACAGGTTTACCTTCAACACTGATCAATGACAACTTATTGATTTTCTACTTTACATTAATATCAAATCCTGATTCATTTCACGTGACCAACAATATAGACTTCAACCATACGCCTTTATAAATTTCGCTAGTGCTGAAGATGTCGCAGCAGCTGCTTCACAATTTCAGAAATTCAAAGGAAAAATTTTATACTGGATGGTATCTTTAAAAAACATTGTTGAAGTTGTGGCGTCCCCGATCATGAATTCAAAGATTGTACTAATCGCAATCCTTATCGTTCCTTATACAATCATTTCAAACCAGAGCAATACTGTCCTCCAAGACCTTTCAACAATAACAACGGTGACCCATCCTAATCATACTCTCAGACACTTACTGACCCAAAAAAACATATTTCCTTCCAAGGAAAGACAAGCAATATTCCTTCAAATATAGTTGACGCCCTTAAAGTTTTCCAAGAAAAACTAGATGTCATTGAGAACAAACTTATCTCAATAGATGATGAGATAGTTTCCCTAAAAAATGCAGCCATTAAGCAAGACCAAAACCAAAAAGATATTGATTTTCGTCTCAATCATCTCGAATTTATGCACTATATTGTACATGACACTGATCAAGTCGATGATCCCACATATAAGTTTCCCCTTCACAACGGTGATGAGGAAATGGATTGTGTACCTAATAATCCTCCTATTACTAACCAAGACCAAAATGAATCTGTATCTAACGTAGTTTCTAACAACTCATCTAACTCTCAAACGAATGACCTAAATCGCATTATTTTATTTGAAACCTCTGTCAACGACATTACATCTGAAATCAAAAAAATTTCGAGTGCTTTACGTATCATGATTCAAGCGTTAACATCATCCAATTAATGAGTGTATACCAATCCAATCAAAATAATGGTGTTCAGTAAGTTCACCTTAATAATAATGAAAATATTAACAAACGACAATTTCTATTCTTACTTCAATGACCCTAATTTTTTTTCCTTCGCTACTCAAAATGTTAGAAGCTGTATCTTCAAATAAAAAATGTTCCAAATTGAATGCTTTTTTACCACTTATAATCTAGATATATTTGGACTTAGTGAAACTCATTTAAACTCTACTCAAGCTCTCCATCTTTCAAAAATTTTTCACAATAAGCCATACAAATTCATATTTTTGTCAGATAATTTTCAAATTAATTACCAAGGTGTTGGTTTTATCATTAAATCTTATTTACATCAACATATTTTCTTTCAAAAGTTCATATTTGATAGAATTGCCTATATCGACCTCCAGTTCAAAAATAAGATCAAATTCAGAATTATTCAAATTTACCTCTCAGCTAATATTACGGATTGTGACCAATTATTACTAAGATCAAAATTAGAAAATATGGTAATTAATATTATTCTAGAAGCTCAGTCCAAATCTTATCACATAATTTTAATGGAGATTTTAATGTTGACTTTTACAAGCTTCAACATAAACATAATAATACGAAAAGAAATAGAACTTATAGATCCTTTATTGATAAAATACTCAACCTCAATTTCATTCATACCGCCTCATTAATCTCAAATTCTTCAAACAAAAAATTACCTCATACATTTACCTTCTCCTGAAAAAATCATATACATATCAATTATATCTTTACTTCAATTTCTCTTTCTCACAACCTTACCTTTTTCAAAATTTTTGATTCTGCTAGCACTATTCACGAATTAGATCATTTACCTTTGCATATCATGATTTACAAAAATAATATCTTCAATATTTCATCCAATACTTATCGCAAATAACATAAGACCACACAAAAATCCTATAACTTTGTTAAGACTGCTTTCTTACACTGGGATTTATTTTCTGATAAATTGGAGAAGTTAATTAAAGAATCTAAAAAATTTTATGACCCTAATGTTTTTGGTTTCTCTCAAACTTCAATTAACCAGGTTTGGGAATTTTTTGTCCAATCAGTAACATGTGCTACAAACAAACACATTCCTAAAACTACTACTACACTACACCATAAGTTCCTTTATAATTTTGATAATTCTATCATTAACAAACAAATTAAGAAACTCTATAAACTTTACCACAACATAAAAATTTTCTTAGATAAAACGTTATCTGATCCTACTCTTTCACCTTTTCCATTTATCATTTTTTCTGAAAAACACAAATCTGTCTTGACCATTGCTACAGAACATAAAATATCATCAGCTTCTTTAGACTTTTGTTTTATCAAAAAATCTTAATTCTTATTTTAACGATTTAAAAGCTTTTATTATCAAACAATTGGAATGTAAACTCAAATTAGTTTCTAAGCAAGAAAATAATGATTGAATCAAAGCTTTTATCTCTCAACAGGCTAATAACTATAAAGATGTCCTCTCTAAAATAATCAATTCGTGTTTAGAGAGATCAAGAACCACTATCGTTCTCGATAGAATTCTCATTAATGAAACCAATCAGGACCTGTATCTAGAAGTTGACCAAAAAAAGTTAAAGAAAGCTACTGCTTTACATTTCCAAACAGTTGCAGGCTCGCTAAATAAGAAAGTTACTGATCCAATGTTTCCTGACTTTTCAAATTTCTGGCCTCAATGGGAAGAATATTACCGTTCTCTTCCTACTATTAATAATAATGTTTATGATCAGATTTTAGATCCTCCTACCTATGATAAATGGCTTCTAATTATCAAACATTTACCTAATGACAAAGCTCCTAGCCCTTTTAACATTTATAATAAGTTTTTAAAGAAAATGTGACCTTTAGCGAACAAATTTTTGTATCATATAATATGTGCGTGTTTTTACTCTAGTTTCACTTCTAAGCAGTAGAACTTAGCTCACGTATATCTGATACCTAAGCCGAAACTATGGAACTGTGATCTCAATAACACACACCTATCACCTTACTCGAAACTGTTCGTAAAGCTTTTACAAAAATTATTAATGCACAGCTACAAAAGATTCTTATTGCCAACAAAGCTTTGTCCAGATTGAACTTCGCAGGCCTACTGCATCAATCCACTTTAGAACCCCTACACATTATTAATAATCTGCTCGAATATCATTGTCTACAGAAAAGTTCAGAAAAGTCCTACAAACAAGACCTTCATATTCTGTTTCAAGACATGTCCAAAGCCTACGATAGAGTTAACATTTTTATACTTGAAAAAGCTTTGGCCTGTTTGAAATTCCCAAAAACTTTGATTAATTTGATTATAGGACTCTTTCTTAACTGTTTTAATCAAATTTTTACTAACTATAGTTTTATTGATCCTTATGATATTCTAGTCGGCATCGACTAAGGTGAAGTTATTTCTCCTCTTTTGTGTGTCATATATTATGATCCTCTGTTTGATCACATTAAAAAATCTGAACTCAAATTTAAATTGTTCACAACATGGAACCCTAATCTCAACATTCCTGAAACTGAATCT